GTTTTATAAGGCGAACTTAATTATAATAATTAAAATCAATTAAGATGGGCTACATGGATTGGGTTTTTGAGCCCATAACCCCATGTCATCATGCTCGCCGCTCTCTAGCCATCCGTTCCAAAATTGGGTTCAAGTGTCTGAGCAACCCACATGGTATTATCAGGGGGTGGTCGACATACTGTCACCCTCATGATGTGGTTAGGGGGTGATCGATAGGGATGGCAATGGGTCGGGTTGGGGTGGGTTTCGTCAAACCCAAACCCAAATCCATGGGTTTATCCGCCAAAAAAACTCGGGGTAAAACCCGTTGGGTTTGAAAAACTCAAACCCAACCCAACCCGCTGGGTATCCGCAGGTTCATGGGTACCCGTGGGTTTTTGTGGTAAAATTTTACAATAACAAGTTTCTTTCAAAATAAAAGTTTAACATCAATTTTCTCATACAAATTAATCATACAAAAAACACCAATCTAGAGCATACAAGCAAAGCGCAAATGATCAATACAAATTATTCAAAATTAAAGATAAACATATATAAACAATAAGATTAATTGAAAGCTTCTTCCTCGTCAACTAAGTTTCTTCACTCTCCACTTCATAATATCAACTTCATTTTAAACAATTAGAAAAAACAAATTATACATGTCTCCACAAACATATAGTTATTAATTGTTTAAGGAAGATATATTATTTAGAATATTAAATATACCGGGAAAGTAATTATATGTGTGTGGGCAGGTACCCATGGGGCGGGTTTACATAAACCTAAACCTAACCCGACCCGGTGAATAGTGTAGCAGGTTTAAACCCGAATCCAGCCCAAAACCCGTCAACACGGGTTTTACCCGCGTTGACCGGGTTGGGTCGGGTGGGTACCCATGGGTTCGGGTTTTGTGGCCATCCCTAGTGATCGACATATCACTTCCATGAGATGATCACCCCATGATGTAGTGAGGGGGGTGATCGAAATACCGCCACCCTCGTGATGTGGTGAGAGAGGTGATCGACATACTGCCACCCTCATTAGGTGGTCGGGAGTGATCAATATACCACCCCGATGATGTGGTGAGAAAATATGGCTAAGTATGGAGAACGATGGCGTGTTAGAGTCCCCCATGGTATGGTTAGAGGGGGTCACCAATATACTACCCCATGGTGTGGCCCGGTGGTAATCAACATACTAACTCCATGAGATGATCACCCCTATGATGTGATGAGAGAGGTGCTCGACATACCGCCACTTCTATGATATGGTGAGTGGAGTGATCACCATACCGCCCCCATGATATGCACCCCCATGAGGTAGTCAGAGGGTAATCACCCACCCACCCACATGTGGCAGGTGGTCTACCTTCATGCCTTAGCCATTTTTTCTCTACAAACAAGCAAAGCTACGGAGGAGATACCACGAACGGGGAGTGAAGTCTCAAGAGGAGGACACTCCCATCATCAGGGCAACAATGGAGCAGTTGAAGAGCGTTACCGTCACTCCACATCAGTAGAGTGATTTTTGAAGGTCGTTACTTCTTATGGCTATAAATAGAAGGTGAAGATGACAGAGAAGGGGGGTTCGCCAAAATCACACCAAACAACCAATGTAAACTTAATTTTATCCTTTTATATTTTCCTCTAAAAATGTAGGCATAGTCATAGTTGTAATCTTGAAGCTCTTGCTGAACCTCAATATGAGTAGATTTAATGTAATTTAGATTTGTCTCATATATAGATCATCAAGACCATCAAACACCCTTGGGTTTTTTTGGGGCGTACTATTTGTAGCCCTAAATTGTCTTTATTTGTAGCCCTAAATTATAAAAAGTACAATAATACCCATCACATTTAAATACATTTAGTTCACACATTCCAAGACCAAAATATTCAAACACTTTCTCCAAACACAATCCTACAATACTCGCCGCCGGCGACAGCCACCTCCCGCCGACGACCGCACCTCCTGCCGGCGACCGCCCCCTCCCACTGGCGACCGCCAGCGTCCGCCACCTCCGCCGGCGACAACGACAGATTACCCGACAACGACAGACACCTTTCTCCGACGAGGTGCGCCGGCAAATTACCCGACGACGACAGATTTAGCCGTCTTACACCGGCGATGGGCGGAGGTCCTGCTGGGACATCGCCGGCGACGGACGAATGTCCTGCCGGGACGTCGCCGGTTTTTTATTTTATTTTTAATTTTCTATTAATTTAAATTTGTGAAGTATATTAGATTTTTAAATAGATATTAATTTAGATTTTTTTATAATAGATTGATGAATAATTTAGATTTTTAGAATATTTAGTGATTTTTATTACAATTCATTATTTTATGAATATTTTAATTATCATATTGTTTAGATGAATTTGTTCTAATATTATTTTTAAAATGAAGTTATTGAATTTTAATTTTTCATATTTTGAAACTAAGTTAATGTTTCCTGAAAATAATTTATACTTTTAATTGCCATATTTTAAGAATATGTAGTGTTTTTATTGTAATTTATTATTTTATGAATATTGTAATTACCATATTTTTAGTAGGATTTGTTATAATATTATTTGCAGAATGAAGTTCTTTAATTTAATTTTTTATTATTTTGAAACTAAGTTAATGTTTACTAACAATAATTTAGACTTTGAAGAATATTTAGTGATTTAATTGTAGTTTGTTATTTTATGATATTGTAACTATCATATTTTTTAGGATGGATTTGCTATAATATTATTTTTAGAATGAAGTTCTTGAATTTCATTTTTTTATATTTTGAAACTAAGTTAGTATTACTGAAAATATTTTTCTTATATGTATTTCTTGAAGTTGGTCAAGTTCGTACTTCTGGATATCACTACATCAGATAATGAGTAACACGGTTAGTGAGTTAAAACTTTTTAATTTTAGAATCATGTTGAATTATTTATTGTTATGATGAAGTCTAGTAATTGATAATATGCTTAAATGTTTGTTTTACAATGATACATATTGTTTGAAAAATGTTGAATTATTGATTTTAATGTTTTGTTGATAATTTAATTAGTATGTGTCTACTTATTAAAAAAAAATTATTGCATGTTGAAATATTAGGATTTGGTAGTTAATCATGCTAAATTTGCTAATTTTTTGTTGTAAATGTATTAGATTAGTTTATGTTCGAATATTGAATAATTGTTAACAACGTTGTGTTGTTGATAATTTAATTAGTACGTGTCTACTTGTTAAAAACTTTTTTATTGCATGTTGAAATATTTGGATTTAGTAGTTAATCATGCTAATTGTGCTAATTTTTTGTTGAAAATGTATTAGATTAGTTTATGTTCGAATATTGAATAAGTGTTAATAACGTGTTTAATATTTTTTAATAAGAAGATAAATATAAAATCTAATATTGTAAACAAGTCATCAAATTTTCTAAAACTTACATAAGACTCAATCCATTTCAAATTGTAAGAATTCAATTTACAACAATTATTACAAGTCATGAAAAGGGAAAAAATCCAAAAGTACCACTGTTTAAAAAAAAATTCCAAAAATACCATCTAATCCCAAAAAATTCCAAAAATACCATCCTTTTTCAAAAACCGCCACCCTACCCTGCGGTTTACACGAAAACCGTTTGTCGGGGGCAAACCGCGGGGCTAGGGGGCGGTTATAAAAAAAAAATTTGGACGAAACCGCTGGGTGGGGTGGCGGTTTGACCCAAAACCGCCACCCCACTTAGCGGTTTGTTCAAATTTTTTTTTTTCCGATCAACTCCTAACTTCGGCCGAAACTTCAAACAAACGTAACTTTGCACTCGGGTATCCGATCGATGCGATTTTTTTTTCATTTCGCATACCTTTTTAAGATCTACATCTTTTAGTAGGATGAAATTTTCAAGACAGGAACTATTTGTGGATATACGGGACCTTGGGAATAACTTTACCTTTACCTTTCACAAATCCATGTACATTTTGAAATTATGATTATATTAAAAGTTGTAAGATCTTGAAAAGTTATGTAGAATCAAAAAAAAATTCATGACATTCGGATTTTGGAGCACAAAGTTATGGCCGCCCAAAGTTTGACGAAATAAAAAAAGGCTCGTTCGGGGTGGCAAATGACGTTTTTTCGAGACGAAGGCGGGACCCACCGGTTTGCAGCTTGCAAGATCTCAAAAATTTATTCGGATTCAAAAAATGGAGGCCGCAAACTTTTTGAGATCTTGCAAGCCGCATTCGCCGGGTCTCGCATTTTGTCAAACTTTGGGCGGTCATAACTTTGTGCTCCAAAATCCGAATGTTATGAATTTTTTTTGATTCCGCCTAACTTTTCAAGATCTACAACTTTTAATATAATCATAATTTCAAAATATACATGGATTTGTGAAAAGTAAAGGTAAAGTTATTCTCAAGGTCCCGTATATCCAAAAATAGTTCATGTTTTGAAAATTTCATCCTTCTAAAAGTTGTAGATCTTGAAAAGTTATGCGAAATGAAAAACAAATCGCATCGATCGGATACCTGAGTGAAAAGTTACGTTCGTTTGAAGTTTCGGCCGAAGTTGGGAGTTGGTCGAAAAAAAAAATTTGGACCAAACCGCTGGGGTCAAACCGCCACCCCACCCAGCGGTTTGGTCCAATTTTTTTTTTATAGCCGCCCCCTAGGCCCGCGGTTTGCATAGAAAACCGCGCCCCCGACAAACGGTTTTCGTGTAAACCGCAGGGTGGAGTGGCGGTTTTTGAAAAAGGGTGGTATTTTTGGAATTTTTTGGGATTGGGTGGTATTTTTGGAATTTTTTTTTTAAACAGTGGTACTTTTGAATTTTTTCCCATGAAAAGTGTTGAAACTTATGTAAGACTCAATCTATATCAAATTGGAATAATTTAATCTGCAACAAACATTTCAAAATTAGTATCACTAATAAGATAAATGTGTTTATTTTAGGGAGATCCGAAAGATAAGGGAGACAAAGTTGATTATACTCAATTTTTCATAACAAATACAAGATATAAGTCATGGAATGAAGCTATGGAAGCTGCGAAAGTGATTGCAAAAGATCTTGGGTTCTTTTTGACACATTCATCAACCAAATCAAATGATGGCGAGAAGTACCCCCGAATATATCTTCACTGCCATCGTGGATATAAGAACAATACATATGTCCCAAATCCGGATAAGAAAGGACGATCCAACACAAAGTCACTTAAAGATGGTTGTCGTTTTCGAGTGAGACTGGTGGGACTCCCGGAGGATAAGACTTGGATGATTGATGGTGTGAAGGACAATCACAATCCGAGACAATTTTGTGGGTTTCACAACCATGCATTAGAGCTTTATCCCGAAGGCCACACTCAGAGGAATGCTTTTACTAATGAAGAGCTAAAGGATATGAAAAAGATGGAATGGGCTCGTGTTCCTCCTCGAAAAATGATGCACACTATCAACCAAAAGTATGGTACTCACCATAACAAATGACAATTTTACAACATGACTGCAAATATAAGGATTGAGAGATTGAGTGGCATAACCCCTTCGGATTGGACGTTACACCATGCGAGAGAGATGGGGTACTACATTGGCTACAAGCGTGATGATGATCGCCACCTTACTCACCTTTTTCTTGCTCACGCTGAGTCTGTTCGGATGTTGAGTGCTTGGTACCATGTAATCTTGATTGATTCCACATACAAGACGAACAAATATAAGAGGCCCCTGGTTGAGGTTATTGGTGTTACCCCCGTCAAGAGGAACTTCAACATTGGATTTGCTATGATGGAGGGGGCAACCACAGATTCTTATGTTTGGCTTTTGAGAGAGTTACAAAACATGCTTGGAGATCGCATACCGAATGCAATTCTAACTGACAAGGAGGGAGGATTGGTTGCCGCTATCCCTCAAGTCTTCACGAAATCGCCTCACTTTTTGTGTATATGGCACATAAAATGGAACATTGAAGCTAAGATGATGGATTTGGGGATACCACAAGAAGTTGCTCGAGGAGTGGTACATGGTTCTTGGAAGAAGGTGATGGAAGCCACCACACCACATGCTATGATTGAGGAATGGGAAAATTTCAAAAATGGATTTTGGGGGAGGAATAGTAAGTTGATAGAATACTTGGATCGTGAGTGCTTGGAGCATAAAGAGAAGTGGGCTTGTGCTTACACTAACAATGTTTTTCATATTGGTAACACAAGTACGAATAGGGTTGAATCGGCTCACTCGACTCTTAAAGCTTGGCTAAACACTTCGACTGGGGGAGTTGATACATTATTTTTATCATGGCATGCTAGCATTGGGGGGCAACTGATCGAAATTAGGAAAGAGCTAGAGACATGTCGAACAAAGACATTCAAAGGAGCCTATGGACCACCCTACGACGTTATAAGGGGAAGTGTAAGCCTATATGCGCTTGAGTTGATGTTTGTAGAGGGAAAGAAGACTCCGTCGGAATGTGATTGTGTGATTGGGAGGACACATGGGCTCCCATGCAGTTGTCGAATCAACTCCTTTAAAGGAGCAGGAGACCATTTTCAGATAACACACTTGGCACCATTCTGGTCTACTTTGGACTATGCTAACCCTCATGATGCAAGACGGTTCGAAGACAATGACGCCAATGATCTTCAGATTTTTCATGATCTAGTGGCTGTGGTGTGTAGACGTGGTCCATCTGCATTTCGAGCAGCCAAGGTCGCATTAATGAGTCAGCTTTACCCCGAAGAGGAAGGCCTTAGGGAGCTACGAGTGTCTACGAAGGCAAAAGGTCGGCCACGTAAAAGGGAAAACGCTCGTGATCCTTCTAGGCATGAGCACGCCGCCACATGCAAGGTAGAAGGAGCACAAGGAGGAAGGCATCAACCTCAAATGATACAGGTTATTATTGAATAATTTGAATGACTTTGTTCATTGATATTCAATAAGTATTTTTAATAGGCTAATAAGCTAATTATAACAAAATTTTCACCAACAGGTGCCCCGAAGGGTGCCCCCATCCACACAAAGAGAAAAGCAACAACCTCAGATGATACAAGTTTGTATTGAATAATTTGAGTTGTTTTGTTAAATTCATTGATATTCAATAAGTATGTTTAATATGCCAATAAGCTAATTACAACAAAATTTTCACTAACAGGTACCCCGAAGGATGCTACCATCCACAAAAAGAGAAAAGCAACAACCTCAGATGTTACAGGTTTGTATTGAATAATTTGAGTTGTTTTGTTAAATTCATTGATATTCAATAAGTATGTTTAATATGCCAATAAGATAACTAAAAAAACTACATCCACAGGTGGCCCGAAAAGGGATCCCATGCACAAGATTGATGGAGTGAATGTTTTTCCTTACTTTCGCTTCATCCCAGAAAGTGTCAGAGATCGATGTCTTGGTTGGTGGGACCCTGCTCCTGATGGACACTGCGGATTTCGAGCCCTTTCACATGCACTTCATGGAGATGAGGATCACTACTTGTGGGTGAGAAAGGCTATTATAGATGAAGTCATGTCGATCCAACAATGTGAGTACGCATATGAAGATGTAGGTCTTGCTCTTACACGATTACAGTGGAACAAGCCAGAGGGTACCACAATGGATCATTGGATGACTGAGTCGGATCTCGCCGTAGTTGCAACATTATTTAACTGGGCCATAATCCTCTACATTCAAATAGACGAAACCAAAGATGGGGTGAGCCAGCGGTAGCTCACCCTAGCAATGTGTTGGTGTTGTGTAACACCGGCAACCATTGGGTGCACCTTGACTTTGAGGAGGATTCAATACCAATGCCTCCATTCACCTTCTTGTGGACCCATTTCCGTGACAAAATGAGTACTCAAGGTTGGGAACTGTTGTTCAAGGACGACCGAGATCTTTACTTCCCACTTGGGGGTCATCATGACTAGTAGGAGATATTTGTAGTAGTATTGGTATATAACGACAATAGTTGTAAATAAGGAGTATTTTGTAACTCATCTCATCTTTATATTTGTAGTCTTTGGTAAACATAGTTTTAAATTAAAACTACCATAGTTCTAAACATACAAATAAAGTACCAAATGAACGACACTAGTACTCAAACAACAAATAAACAATTTAGTTCTCAAACTAGAAATAAACGACATAGTTCTCAAACAAAAAATAAACAACATAGTTCTCAAACTACAAATAAACGACATAGTCCTCCAACAACAAATAAACGATTTAGTTCTCAAACTAGAAATAAACGACATAGTTCTCAAACACCAAATTAACGACATAGTTCTCAAAATACAAATAAACTACATAGTACTCAAACTACATGAACAACATTAGTACTGAGGTGGAGGCTGGTATGGAGTCGCCTCGTCGTACTCTCTAAGCAACCCTTGTAACCCAAGAAGAAGATCAAGGTGGTCATCATAAGGGTGCTCAATCACAGTGAGAAACTCTCGGACGAGCTTCACAACTAACTGTATAAAAATGTGAATGTTAGTATGTTATTCGATAACTAATGCAATATTTAAGCTTGTACAGAATAACAATATCAATAACATAATTAAACTTACCTGATCATGACTAAGATGGTGGTGTATCTCCTAGTCAGCAGCACTGGGGCAGACGATCCTTGGGTGGGTACGTCCCATATACCACTGTAGATACCCATCGTTGGTATCTTCCGGTTTTTGAACAGGTCTCGATATCGAATCCAACTGCACCGAGTGGCAGTGAGGGGCCTTCCAAAGCTCACTCAAGCCGGGACCATAGGACAAGGAGTACATCTTGACATTCGCAGATCGACAAACATCAACTAGAGGAAGCGGATCTGAGGGGATGGTCTCTACGTACCCAAACTGACGGAGGCAACGCGAGGGATCGTACATCTCCTCAACACCATGCACCGAATGACACTAGAGTACAAAGAATGAGAGACCATCTCACCAGGTCTGAGGCCGAATGGGCACCAAAAAATGAATTCATCTGTCATATTATCCAGTACTCGACGATAGTGATCCAACCTCTCATTCATCAACTGTGCCCCACCTCCTAATCTCACCCCCTCCAACTTCTTAGCAAAAGGTTCCCTGCACACCAATCCACGTTTCCCCAACTTCTGATCTCGTAAACACGGGAAGTACTCGTAGATCCAGCTCTGAAGGAGGGTCAAACATCCACCCATGCCTTTGCAGTCCGCTCGAGACGCCATGCCGAGTTGCCTATACAAATAGGCGAGTGTACCAGCCCCCAAGAATATTTTCTCATCCGTCTAGTGTCCCCCAAGAACTGGAGAGGCCAAACCTGCGCCCGATCCCCACTCCTGTCCACAAACAAAGTGGTCCCCAACAAACAGGTCAAGAACATCCGTACCTCAGAATCTCTTTCCCGAAAGCTCCCAACCTGCTGCATAGCTTCAACACACACCAAACCCCCACTCTTAAGCTGAGGCTTCGATTGTTCATTCAATTTTTCGACCCTCAGCATCTCACACAACTGTGCTTTCACACTCTCATTCCCTACAACCATATCTCCACCGACTGGAATCCCAAGCAACATTGCAACGTCGTGGAGCAAACGACCACGAGGCCCACGTCTAACATGAACAAACTGAGAGAACGAAGAAGACACAAAAGGAGCCTCGGGCTCTAATCTAGGTCCACTAGAACCACCTGCACTCGGATGGTTGCTCTCGAAGAAAGCATCATTTACATCCGGGAAGTCATCATAATTGTCATCACTGCAATCATACTCATCCACTCCCTCAAAAGCTCTATCTAAGTCAAAAGGCACGGGAGGCGGGGGAGAAGGATTCTCCACAAGCCTAGCATGTCGACGCTCATTCTCGGCTTCCTCACGACGCGACCTCAATACTATACGGTTGGTCACCCTCGACGGCTCTACCTCCTTCATCTTCTTCTTTCCTCTTGTATCCACCATTTTCTACCTATTAAAATTTGAATTAAAATTATTGTCAGATTATCATCATGTAATAGTTATTAGCAATGTTCATATGACAATTGCTAGTTCTCAGATAATAAATTTTTATATTCAAATGTTCAAGGTTCATATATTTCTCTATTATAATTTAACATTCGTATATAATTTCAATTGCAATAAAATTTCCGTCACAATATAATGTTCGAAATTATAATGTATTTCACGATAAATTCTAACTTAATTTTCTTGCTTAAATTGTCTATTATAATTTAACATTCGTATATAATTTCAATTACAATAAAATTCCCATCACAATATAATGTTCGAAATTGTAATGTATTTCACGATAAATTCTAACTTAATTTTCTTGCTTAAATTGTCAATTGCAATTTAAGGTTCGTACAACAATGAATACTTTTCATGAAATAAAATTCTATATTTAAATTATTAAACTTTCTTATATTTATCAATTAAAATTTACCTTTTCTATCTAATTTCAATTAAATGAAAACATTAACCGACATAATTTTCGTATATATTAAATATTAACATATTTAAAGCAGATAATTAACCTAAATAATTTAATCAGATAATTAGAGTAATTAACGTACATTAAATCATAATAATTAAAGCATATAATTAACCAACATAATTAAAGGAGATAACTAAAGTAACTTTTTAAATTGATTTAAAGCAGATAATTAACTTACATTAAATCATTATAATTAAAGCAAATAATTAACCTACATAATTAAAGGAGATAATTAAAGTAAAATTTTAAATTAATTTAAAGTAGATAATTAACCTACATTAAATCATAATAATTAGAACAGATAATTAACCTAAATTAAATTAAACGAAAAAAAATAAAAAACCGATCGTTGACCCGCCGCCGGCGAGGGCGACGTCCTGCCCAGGCGTCGCCGACGACGGACAAACGTCTGGCCAGGATGTTCGTCCCTCGCCGACGACGCCTCGGCAGGACGTCGCCCTTGCCGGCGGCGGGTCAAACGGTCGGTCGTCACCTCCTTCGTGCAAAAATCAAACATTACCTCCGGCGAAGCGCTCTGATTTCGTCTCCGGCGAGAGGTCGTCGTCTCCGGGGAGAGGTGGTCGTCGTATTTGAGAGGAAACCGGCGACGAGAGAGAAGGGGCGAGTCACGTCTCTGGCGAGAGCTCGTCGTCGCCGGCGACAATATTTGGGAGGAATCCGGCGACAGTTGAATTGGGAGAGTAGAGAGTGTTTGGTTGGAGTTGTAATAAGTTCAATATTTTAAAAAAAAAAGGAAGGGTAAAATAGTAATTACATTCTCCTAGGGCTACAAATAAAAACAAGTTAGGGCTATAAATAGCAATTAAGTTTTTTTTGTGGGAACAAAGTTTCATTCAAGAGATTCCACCGTTTGTACATGGCCACGGCCCAAATCATCTTCCAATAACGACAAAAGAGAAAGGGGGGGATTATTGATCCACACCACCTGTTGATCCCAACTCGACCCCGAATGGCCCAACCAATGTGTCACCGTATTCTTCTTCCTTCCAGCAAAACACCAAGTCACATGAGTTCTAGATAACGATCACTCACCATCGCCAGTCTCAAATTTTCCTCAGCCTTCTTCCTTCAAAGAGGTGTACCATATTTATTATCGTTTTAATAAGAAGTCAATGTGCAGATTAAATTATGTTCCATCTAGTTTTTCTCGTTGGAAAAACACTAAGAACACTAGCTAATGCTAGAATACGAGTATTTTAAATTAGTAGGAAGTTCTTGTATGATAACAAAATACCAGTTCACTTCATACATGACGACAACGGTCCAATTTCCCACACACCAGTTACGTCAGAAGGCGTTGTTCTTGTTTGCACAAAACAAAGCAAAACCATCAGCATATCGGAAATTTCCCTAAAGTCCCAACGCAACACCTCAGTTACTAGAAGAAACTGTTTCGTTCCAGACACGCGTTTGCCCGACGATAGTAGCCACAGCCAGCCAGCGGTAGTAAACATGAGCACGTCAGTTGCTGCCTTTTCTTTAGCTTTGCGGTTGGTGCCGTTCAAAAAGTTAATTATTGCTTATGAGTGATTCGCTTCTGCAATCAACTAGTAATTGTCTGACTTCATTTGCTAGCATGTCTGTGTCATTGAAAACAACCCTTACCGGCATACCCCATTGCGCACAACAACAACAGTGCATAGTGCTCACTTTCTTTTATAAATGTAACCTACACTAATTAATTCCTTATTTTTATCTCTAAGTTTGACTAGACAAACCGTAAACTGAACTACCTATAAAGTGATGCGTAAATCTCAGTTGTTATTTCATTTAGAGTTAGTTTGTTTTGATTTTATAAAGGCAAATCTAGTAAAGGACAGGGTGTGTCGTCCGACACAGCCTCGCCCGACAATTTTGTGAATGACCTATATATTTTTGGGATAAATTTTTTAATTCGGAAACTTCGACACACCACAAATAACTGTGAGTGACGCACCTTTATTATACGAGAATGACTTTCTTTTTATAAAGTTATTTATCTTAATTAGTAAAACCAATAATAATTCAAATCAAATAAGTACACTTGTTTTAAAGTAACCCACACCACAACCCAACAATGGAAAAAAAAACATAATTCCATCCTTTGAAACTCACCATTTCCACCCCTTGACCCTTCCGTTATTGAAAAATGAAAATAAAACATGAAATAAAAAACTCACCCTTACCCCTTTGTCATTTCTAATTACCAAGACCCAGTCACAAATCCCCCTTTTCTTTTATTCTTTAGTTTTACTTGCTCTTGAAGTTTGTGTTGACTTTACCTATTGCAATTGCAAGTTGCAAAAAAAATTCATCTATGAAGATAATCAAGAATGAACTTCGAAATCGGTTGAGTGACCAATTTATGAATGATTGTTTAGTTGTGTATATTGAAAAGAATTTGCTTCGCAACAAAGCGATGAATGTTTTCAACAGACATTTCAGGATATGAAAAGTCGTCGTGGTTCGTTGTAAACATGACATTATTAACTTTATGAATTAATTTCTCGTAATTTCTATTTAATTTTAATTATTATCTTATTCTAACGGCGATACACCTCTCCGATAATTCTGGGTCCGCCACTTCACTAGTAAAGTATTTTTGGAAGGGTTTCTGAAACTCGGTTGTGCATATTTTCTAACTATTTTTTGTTATATTTAGGACAAAAAAGCCCATAATTTGTTTTAAGGCTACCATAGACCGGACCATGATCTTAAAGTAATTGGTTTGAATTTTAAAATACAAGAATATAATTATGAAAACGCAATTTGATTTTTGTTTTCTTTCATATTTCTTGCAATGTAATCATATGATGGGGTTGTCTGAATCAATAATCTAAACAGATCTCAATTACTTTATTTTTATGATTGAAGTATACGCTGGCCAATTTTATTTGTTGATAAATACGAACAATTTATTCATGATATTCTTGACGATGATGAGTGATCTTGATTTATTATTAAATTTTTATAGATTATTCTAGTCCTGTAAAATAACTGAGAAACTCATAAAGTGAGAAGTTGAACTTAGAGCTCTACCTCTATATTATCAAAGAATTTCCATAATACTAGTAGGTTGTGCGAACCGAATCTCAACTTTTAGTGGCATAAGTCCTACTTCAGCTATTCTTCTCTCGCTATATATATCTCAAGTACACCTCCACTATGTTATATCTTCCACAACAGCTGATTAATTTGACTCCAAAAAAGAAAACTACTACTCTCCCCTTCCAATTCCAAACTTGTCGCTAGAAGAAGACAAAGAAATGATGTCCAGGATATCCCTAGTGCTTGTTCTTATCTTCTTCCATGCTGCGCTGTTGGTTCCCCATCTGGTCTCGGCTGCAGATCTGAAGGTGGGATTCTACAAGTCCACCTGCCCGCTAGCTGAAACCATCGTCCGTCACGTTGTGGAGAAGCGGCACAGCACCGATAAATCCATTACCGCTGCTCTTCTTCACCTGCAATTCCATGACTGCTTCGTCAGAGTAGGTTCCTAGCTACTTCTCCTAATTAACCTACCTTCTTTAATTACTCCATTACTACATATATAGTTGTCGGTTCGGTTCGGTTCGGTTCGATTATGTTCGGACATAGGATACATTCCTTATCTCCACACTCTAGTTCAGTAGACTTCACAGCTAATCGGATTGGTTGCTAAGCTTCCTCTCATTCAAAGCCAGTAAGGGAGGAGATGAAGAGTTTGAGGGGAAAAAGCTAGTTGGCACTTTTTCATTGGTGGCAAGGATTTGTGGGTAGAGAGAGAGTGAAGAGATAATGTTGTCATTGATACATGTTGAAACTAAAGTTTTGTCGTGTTGATGTGACATGGATATTTGTGTATTAGAAAATGGAAGTTGATTAGAGACTAAAGATAAATATCACAAGAGAGTTGAATATTTCGCCTTTCTTTCCGTTGTCGACATATATAATTCATACCGGAAAGATTTTTATTTTATGATAACCATTAATTACAATTTCCCATACATATATATGTAGGGCTGTGATGCATCGATCTTGATAGACTCGACGGCCCAGAACCCGTCCGAGAAAGCAGCGCCTCCAAGCGCAACGGTCCGCGGCTACGACCTCATCGACGACATCAAATACGCCCTCGAATACGTCTGCCCGGCCCAGGTCTCCTGCGCCGACATCCTCGCACTCGCCACCAGGGACTCCGTCGCCCTCGCCGGCGGACCCACCTACGACCTCCCGACGGGAAGGCTCGACGGCCTCGTCTCCCGCGCCGACCAGGTCAACCTTCCGGCGCCGACCATGTCCATCTCCCAGGCCTTCACGGGCCACTTCCACCCACTGGGCTTCACGCTCCCAGAGATGGTCACGCTCCTCGGGGCCCACACCGTTGGGGTGGCCCACTGCTTCATCTTCCAGGACCGGATCTCCAACTTCAGCGGTTCGGGGAGGCCCGACCCGGCCATGGACCCGGCCCTGGCCGCCAGCCTCCGGAAGACCTGCTCCGCCAGCGGGAGTCCGACGGCGTTTCTGGACCAAAACACGTCGTTCGCCGTCGACCGTTCGTACTTCAGGGAGTTGACCCGGAGGAAGGGGGTGCTGCGGTTCGACCAGGACCTGGCCAACGACCCGTCGACTTCATCGGTTGTGTACGGATTCGCGAGGGACGAGGCGAGTTATAGGAAGAGCTTCGCGGCCGCAATGGTGAAGATGGGGAATCTTAAATCTGGCAGCGGCGGCGGTGAAGTGAGAAAGAACTGCAGGGTGTTTAATAAGCCTAAGAGTTCTGACGTCGACGACGGGGTTTAATAAACCATTCACGATATATATGTTTGAAATATTTAAAAATTATTATTAATAATAACAAAATGTCCAACTAATATAAATTTTTGTGTCTCATGACAAATCGGGTTAAACTAAATTGTACGGTATACAACTGGTTTTAAATACATTTGACACTAGTAAAATTTTGGGTTAATAGTATAAATGGCTCTTTTTATTATAATCTTTTCTCAAACTTGTCCATTTATTATGTATTACATCAAATTTGCCTTTTTATAATAACCAAATTACCAAACATGACCTTCAGTCCAATTCATCAACCATGATTCAATCACAGTTGGATCAGTCTGACCACAGCAAAAGAGTATGAAATTTTTCAAAATTACCCCTTCCCATTGAGACGCAAAAGAATCGCAGCCCTCTCTCTACGGAGTATCTAGAAGCCCCTTCTCATTCATTGTCACCAAGTACTTCAAGTTCAAGCTTCCCCTGTAGCCCTGTTCAACAGATCTTATTTCCACCCTCGACCCAATACCAGCAATCCATCCAGTAATACTCTTTTCCCTTCCCTAAATTATCATTGTAAATACAAACCCTAATTTCAAAATCCTAAAGCGACAGCGGTAGAAGGATGGTGGAAGGCGAGCACTGGCGAGCAAGGCAGGGCAGCGGCTGGCTCCCTCCTTCGTTCCTCGTGACTTTTTCCCCTCAACCACTTCCGTTCTTGGAACTTTCAACAATTATACTAAACCAGTAATCAGCCCGCGTTCCGCGGTGATAAGTTTGACTTTAGTAATTTTATGAATTATGAAATATTTTTTTTATGTATATAATCTGAAAGTAGGATTGCATGACCTGGCAGCTTACATCAAGTATCATTGTTGCCAAACCAAGAACGATGGCATCATAGATTTATTATAACAGAGTGCACGAAAATGTGTTGGGGATTTAGTTTGTCAAGGCAAAGAAACAAAAGGTAGTACATAATAGCCTTGTGAAATCCAAAAGTCTGCGCAAACTACATAATCAAATTTTGACATTGTTTTGTCTCCATCGGAGCTGGAGAATAGAAACCTAGTTTAGGAAGGAGGATAATAGAGGTAGATAAGATGCATCAGGAAGTCTTTCTGTCATTGATGTTGATGATCACTTGACCATTCTTGAGGTATGCCAAAGTGTTGCAACTCTTATGTGAGGTTCGGCTGATGCAGTTCTGATGTGATCAAAGTACGCAGCTTCAACGATATTTTTATGATTTTCTGATGTCGCCTTTCTTGAACTCGAAAAATAAAGACAGATGCGGAATCAATCGGACAATTCCTAACTCGTGATGAAGGGCAATTGGTATATTAAACCAATCGGACAACACCAACTCGTGGAAAGGGGCAATTGATATAGGGTAGAAGCTCGCCACAACTAGACGCGTTCTCTAGTTGATAAGAGACACGTGAAACCTCTGGAGCACTCTCGACAGAAGCTTGCACAAAGAACCAGTTCGTTTGAACTTGAAACTTGAAAGTTGATTGATAATAGAATCAATTACAATGAGGGACGCATCCTCCTTATATAGGCAACGAAAATCCAATCTTAAACTAAGAAAGAAAGCAAACAAATAACCAAATCCTACAATTAAAAGGAAAACAAAACCTTAAAGGAAAAGTAAAAGGAAAACATAATCCTTAATAGACAAGGAAAAGACCAAGTCAACAACTCCTTAAAATCTAGCCTTCATATCCACCTTCCTTGAAGCCCAAGTTGCCTCCATGCTGGTCCACGAATTGTAGAAGTATAATGGGCTTCCCATGATGTTGGTCCATGTCCAATTGAGCATAATGTCGATCCAAATAAGCAGCAAATTCCTCTCTTAATCTCTTGGCTTGTAGACGAGTAATTGGACCTTCGTGTGATGAATTGGACTTGGATTTGATGACCTCATCAGTCCCTCCCTCTTGAAAAGGATTTGACCTCAAATCCGAGTTGTCCTCCAAATATGGTGCAAGGTCAAAAACGTTGAAGGTTGCACTTATCCCATATTCTCCTGGCAAATCGATCTTGTAAGCATTGTTTCCAACCTTCGAAATCACTTGGAAGGGACCTTCACTTCGAGGTAGCAGTTTGGATCTCCTTTGATATGGGAACCTTTCCTTTCTCATGTGCACCCACACCCAATCTCCAGCTTCAAACGATCGAGGCTTCCTATTTCGATTGACGTTCTTCATGATTTGCTCCGTCCTTCTCTCGATGTTCAATCTTGCTTTCTCATGGAGATTCTTCACAAATTCGGCCTTCTTTGCTCCATCCATGTTGACTTGTTCCTTCAATGGCAGAGGTGTCAAATCCAATGGTGTGAGTGGATTGAACCCATACACGAGCTCGAAAGGCGAATGCTTTGTGGTTGAATGCACAGCTCGATTGTAGGCAAACTCGACATGTGGTAGACAATCTTCCCAAGTTTTGATGTTGCTCTTGATCACGGCTCGTAGCATTTGGGATAGAGTACGATTGACCACTTCAGTTTGTCCATCCGTTTGAGGATGACAAGTTGTCGAAAACAGAAGCTTTGTGCCGAGTTTACTCCACAACGTCTTCCAAAAATAGCTCAGAAACTTTGCATCTCGATCGGACACAATGGTACGTGGCATTCCATGCAATCTCACGATCTCCTTGAAGAACAAATCAGCCACATTGTTTGCATCATCCGTCTTATGGCATGGAATGAAATGTGCCATCTTCGAGAAACGATCCACCACCACAAAAATTGAATCCCTACCTCTTCTTGTCCTCGGCAATCCTAGCACGAAATCCATTGAAATGTCGACCCATGGTGCATAAGGAATAGGGAGTGGTGTGTACAACCCAGATGGTTGCATCTTTGATTTAGCATGCTGGCACTCCACACATCTTGCACATAAATTCTCCACATCTCCTTTCATGTGAGGCCAATAGAAGTGCTCTTGCAAACAACTCAATGTTTTGGCTACACCAAAGTGAGCCATCAATCCTCCTCCATGAGCTTCCTTCAACAAAAGCTCTCGAAGTGATGTTCTAGGTATGCACAATTGATTACCACGAAAGAGATAACCATTACTTCTGTAGAATTTTCCTTCTCCATGCTTCTCACAAGCCTTATAAGTCTCTCCAAAGTCGAAATCCCCATCATAAGCACCCTTGATTTGCTCGAATCCAAGGTACTTAGCGTCCATAGTAGTGATCAACGTGTATCTCCTTGACAATGCATCAGCAACCACATTCTCCTTGCCTTGTTTATACTTGATTACATAGGGAAACGACTCAATGAACTCCACCCAACGAGCATGCCTCTTGTTCAACTTGTGTTGGGCCTTCAAATACTTAAGAGACTCATGATCGGTATGAATCACGAACTCTTTTGGCCACAAGTAGTGCTGCCATGTCTCGAGGGCTCGAACCAATGCATAGAGCTCCTTATCATAAGTGGGATAGTTAAGCGTAGCCCCACTCAACTTTTCGCTAAAGTAGGCAATAGGCTTCTTCTCTTGCATCAACACGGCTCCAATTCCCAATCCTGATGCATTACACTCCACTTCAAACGTTTTGTCAAAATCAGGTAGCATCAGAACAGGAGCATGAGTGAGTTTGTACTTGAGTAGCTCGAATGCCTTCTCTTGATCTTCTCCCCAATAAAATGCCACATTCTTCTTGATAATAGATGTCAATGGGGCAGCAATGGTGCTGAAATTTGGAACAAATCGTCGATAAAAACCAGCCAACCCATGAAAGCTCCTCACTTCATTCACGTTCGTCGGGGTAGGCCATGCTTGAATCGCCTTCACCTTCTCTTCATCGACCTCAACACCATTCGCACTTACTATGAATCCCAAAAATACCACCCTCGAGGTACAGAATGTGCACTTCTTCAGATTGGCATAGAGCTGCTCCTTCCTCAAAGTCTTCAACACTTCTCGCAAATGCTCAAGATGTTCCTCCATGTTCTTCGAATAGATCAGAATGTCATCGAAGTAGACAACCACGAACTTTCCAATAAAAGCTCTTAACACGTGGTTCATTAACCTCATGAATGTGCTTGGTGCATTAGTAAGACCAAAGGGCATCACCATCCACTCGTATAAGCCATGCTTCGTCTTGAAGGCAGTCTTCCATTCATCTCCTTCCTTCATTCGGATTTGGTGATATCCAGACCTCAGATCAATCTTTGAAAACAAACTAGAACCATGCAAATCGTCAAGCATATCATCTAATCGAGGTATAGGATGACGATACTTGACTGTTATTTGGTTGACTGCTCGGCAATCAACACACATTCTCCACGTATGGTCCTTCTTGGGCACGAGGATAACAGGAACTGCACAGGGACTCATGCTCTCTCGAACATGTCCTTTCTCCATAAGCTCATCAATCTTCCTCTGCAACTCCTTCGTCTCCTCTGGATTCGTCCTATAAGCCGCCTTATTTGGGATTGTAGCTCCAGGAACAAAATCAATTTGATGCTCTATCCCACGGATTGGAGGTAGGCCTTTTGGAGCTTCCTCGGGAAAGACATCTTGAAATTCTTCTAATACCACTCGTGCCCTAGGTGGTATCTCTGGAATAAGCTCTTGATTGAGTAGCACGCCCTTATAGATGATCATAATCATTGTTTCATGATCATTTACTGCTTGCTTCACGTCTCCACTTCGTGCTATCATCAATGACTTGGTCTCCACGGCACTAGTCCCCCCATGTACACTCTTGTCCGTGACTTGGGATTCCTGCTCCTTCTCCTTCGCCCACTTTCGTTGCATTTGGAGTTGATCTTCATAAACTTCCTTGGGAGATAGGGGTTTCAACACTAATTTCTTCCCGCCATGTACTAGCTCGTACTTATTAGTAACTCCATCGTGATGTGCCTTTCGATCAAATTGCCATGGCCTCCCAAATAAGACATGCGCCGCTTGCATAGGCACAACATCACATAAGATCTCATCTTCATACCTTCCAATCGAAAACTTCAAGAGAGCTTGCTTTGTTACTTTGATGGCGCCATGATCATTGAGCCATTGAAGTGTATATGGCTTGGGATGCTTCAAAGTGTTTAATCCCAACTTCTTAACCGAATAGACACTAATGACATTAGTGCAGCTTCCACCATCAATTACCAACGAGAGTAATTTCCCATCCACCGTGCACCTTGTATGGAACAGATT